AACATCTGAGGACTGGTTAGGCCTCGCACTGTCTTTCCTTGCAATTTGTCAGGGAATAGATCCCTGTTCAGTGCACCTTCAACAACAAACCAAAAACCACAGATAACAACACGTGATGAGGAGGAACACTGACGACAAACCACACAGAAGATGATGAAGTCATATGACAAGAATAATACTGTATTATGAATACAGGTGTACAAATCATGAAGCCCCAACGCTCCACTTTAATGTGAGTATTTGAAAAACTCTCCTCCAGAGTGCTTTCAGAGCATCAGCTACACTAGACTTTCGTTCCAGTGGTTCCAACAAAGTTTCTCTTTCTTCCTTTCTCAAACAAAATGCTGCTGAAATAGAGGAAGACTACTCTGGGGAAAACAAAGTCAGCCTCTGTGATCACACACCTTGGGCTTACTCTGGCATTTTCACATCTCAGTGTACAATTGCTTTATTGTTTTCCCCTCCTCCACAGACTGAAAACATTGATCCACCACAGCACTAGTGAATACAAGGCAAAACAGGTACAAGCATAAGTTATATCATATTTATCCACCTTCCCCCAAAATCTTTAAAAAATAAATAATGCAGCATAATCAGAACAACAAGATTGACATTTTTTATTTGTACTTAGCACATACAGGACAGATCAAAACAAATATTAAAAGTAGCATTTGTAAACAAATATTTCACAAAAACTTATAAACTATCAAATTTGCTTTGAAAAAATTCATGGTTATAGCCATTTATAAATGTGTATTTATCAAAATCAAGTTAAAAACTACTTCATTTTAAAAACATCCCAAATGAAGATTCATTCATTCCAACAACTTCAGAGACCACATATATATATAAGGCCTAATTAAAACAAATGCACGAGTGAAGATGGCACTGTGATTTCCAGTTTAAACAAAACAAAAAAAAAAATCAGCAAGTGATCAAAATTCCAGCCAATCCTATTCAAAGTCCTAGGTTTGTAAAATGTACATTCACCTTTGCAAACATTTAACTTTAAAAAAATATAGCTATTTCACTGCATCATCCTCATCTTGTAATGTACCAATTATGTGCTGTGTTTTGAATCTACTCAGAAAAAAGTTCTCAGTAGGTAGTTTTATGTGATTGTATAGTTCACTTCCATAATCATATTAAAAATAAGACACCAGCAGCACCCTTTTAGCAAGGATTCATTTTTAACAGTCTTGCCTTTATAGCAGCAGGTATGGTTTTGGGGAATGCTATCAATGTAATCAGTAAGTCAAAAAAAAAGAAATACACACACCCCATGAAATTTATTACAGTGTTCTTTCCCTATACTTGTTTTCAAAATTAGGTAAGTACCTCTATTTTTTTCTGCAGAACACAAAAATTAAAAGGAAATGACATCTGAACCTATAATTACCTCAGTAGGCTCCCTTTGTTGGTGGCCCTCAAGCCATTTTGATTGCCAGTGTGAATTCTGGTTTTTTATCTCCCTCCAAATTCCTATTTGCATGTCAACTAAAATCAAGGTTTTCAAACTTCACCTATTAATTTGACTCAAAAGAAATAAGATAATAAAAATAACTAAGGCACAAATGGCTGATCTTCAACATCAGGCAGAGGGTCACAGATTTTGAAAACAGGGTAGAATGTAAATTCCCAGAAATATTTCTGGTCTCAGGGTACTGAAAATTCTTACCAGAATTCACAAAAGGTTTTTCAAGATTTTTTCTTTTTTTTTTTTTTTTAACAAAGAAATGGAAAACACTTTTCCCAAGAATGTCCACGAACACTAAACAAGGATGGATGTACATACAAAGACACACACTTTATGCACAGTACACTCTAAACATAGTGCAGACAGACAAGGACCATGGAATGCAATGATCATCTAAGATGGCAGGTGAAATGAAGATGGCTGTTTTTCAGAGGGTCGTCATGAGTTTATCTTGGTACACCATGCTTTGGACTCCTAAATTCTTCTGGTTCTGTTCCTGGATATACCGTAAATTGCTGTCCTCTCCACTTGTGGGGGGTTTCCAATATGGCCTGTCATCATGATAGGGTGGCCTGTACCATTTGCACAGTTATTGGTTAGTGAGAAATGGAAGTAAACTTAAGAGTGCTACACAGTAACATGAGCTCATCCAGCAAGTGCTAAGCATGCACATGGAATGACTGGCAGCATCAGTAAGGGAAGGAAATGGTAAGAGACCTATAGGTCCAATGTAGAACCCACTGAAGCAACTGGCAATCTTTTAGCTGATTTCAAAAGGCTTTCAATCAGAGCTCAGTCATTTAAAACCCTCTCTGTTTTCAATGTTACAGACAAGCATAGTACATCAATGCTCCTGAATCCCAGAGGGATGGCGGGGAGGGAAAAAGAGGCTATGGGAAAACTAAATAAGTACAAAAATCAAGTAAAACATACCATGCAAAAGTGGAGTTCATGAAAGTATACCCTAAAGCCCAAAAAGTTGAGAGGCAATCCCATTATGAATGAAAATTGCTGTTCTGTAGTTATTGCCATTCCTTTGGCACTGGTGCAGTTTATTACACTGAAGCAGCCTGTAAGTTACACATGCCCATTTTCTTAAGATGAACACCTCCAGTCTACAGTTAGTACAGGTATTTCTCTCAAACTGTGTACTGAAACTTGCAAAAGGACTACAAGGAAAATATTTTTTTTCCTTATTTATTCATTACTTACTGGTGTTTTGAGATACTAACTTCAACCTCTCCTACAGTGTCTCCTGAATCATTGCTGGAGAGTGGGGAATAAATAAACAAATGGAAATTTTGAACACTATGTAGAAAACCACGATATTTAAGATTCCTCTATCACAAAAATGATGTTGCAATTATACATACAGAAGAAATTCTTTTCTGTGAGAGTGGTGAGGCACTGAAACAGGTTGCCCAGAGAAGTTGTGGATGCCCCATCCCTGGAAGTATTCATGGCCAGGTCTGGTGGGGTTTTGGGCCACCTGGTCTAGTGAAAGGTGTCCCTGCCATGACAGGGGGTTTGAACTAGATGATCTTTAAGGTCCCTTCCAACTCAAACCATTCTACAGTTCTGGTAATTTTTATAGTAGCAGAAACACAGGTAAGGTTTAGACTTGACCTTTTTTGGAGATATTCTTAAGATATATAATGTCGACTGTTAATTGGAATTAATTTTTTCAGAAAGCTAAACATTAAGTTAACTGTAAACAAATAATTTCACTGAAAGAATTTCACTAAGAAGATTGAGACAATTCCACATACTATTTCACAAATTATTCAACAAAACCCCCATATATAACACATATTGCACAGGTGGTTTCATTTCAGCTCCTGCCCATTCTAGACTTTCATGCCCAGCAGAAAGAATTTCATCATCTGTAGTTTGCTCTCAAGTTCATGGTTGAATGGACTAATCTTTTCCAAATCAAACTATCCAAGATGTTAAATGTCCAATTTTTCACATCAACTCCAAGTTAGAGTAAGTTGAAGCTTCCACTTTAACTACATATTTAAATGCTTCTACCTGACTGGGACAAAAATTCTGAGCACCTTTTTTACTGAGCTTGCATGACTGAGTTTTTAAATATATTTTCTTTTGTTTGTTTTTGTTTGGTTTTTTTTTAGCTTTACAAGCCTTGCTGTAAAAAAAGCCACTGTTCATATTTTACTGACCTTAGTCTTTGTCTAGGCAGTGGAGGGGCTGAAGGGGAAGGCTGTCTACACACAATACATTATTGTGTTATTTCAATATCACTCTGCTCCAGGGTGAACTATTTGGTGTTAAAATGTCACAGACTAGTATCGTAAGTGATGACATCTTCAGAAAAATTTCAGCAAAACCTCAAATGATTTATAAAATTGTTAAACTCTCTTGGCAACCACTCTTCTGTAATGTGAAATTGTACATTTTAAATCATGTATAATAAAATGGACAAGTAAACCCTAAAATCAGGAAGACTTCTGAACCTGAAATATAGGCAAAGTTAATTACCCACTTCCTATGTGCTAGGAATTTTGAGATGACAATGCCTATGTCTGCTTCTCTGCCCAGTAAGTATTTCTAATAACATACTTGCACTTTTCCTGCATTCTCAAACTCAGGTCAAATTGCCTTTTCATTCATTTTAAGCTCAGCCTCATCTCCAGAGCCTGCCCACACTAAAAACAAAGTCTACCTATTGTGGTGTAAGAATATAAATTTTAGATGAGTACGAATGAAGATTAGGGTACTGGTATTTTTCAGTGAAGACAGTAATTAGTTGTCTAAAAAACTGAGTCACCTAGAAGTGTTACTTTCTATTAGGATAAAATAGCAGCTGATTTTTATCATGTGTACATGCACAGACACATATCCACCGGCAGGTGTGTGCCTCCACTGTGCATTCCACCAAGATGGTTTTAACTGGACTGAATTTCTTCCAAAATTTCTTTTCACTCAATATCTCTCATTACTAGCTACAAGATAAAGTATCATGAAAGGAGGATAACACAATAGCACATGCAGGAATATTTTTGTGAAACAGTTCTCAAAAACCCAATGTTATAATTTCACTAATTATCTGTAAAGTGCTTGATAAATTGTTCCATGTACTTGTTATTTTCCCATATACATTTCTGCAAAACATGGTAACAGTGCTGCACTGCAAGAATCTGTTTACTCATAAGTTAACTTTACACTAAAATGAGTTTCTTCTTTGTCTCAGGAAATTAAATACAAATAAATACTGATCAATTTGCAATTAGTTTTACTGAAGCTACTGAGCATCCTCCTATCTAATATACTCCCTACAGAAAATCACTGAAGTTGTACTTCAAATTCTGAATTAAAAACCAAACAGAAAAAAAAGGAGATTAGGATATTCCATAGCAAAACGTAAACAGAAGTTATTTAATACTATCTCTAAATCCCATACTTCTAACTTTGTTTGCTTTTCATGAGCTTTTCACCAAAGCTCCATACTGCTTAAGATAAAGAAAGAAGTAATCATCTCTTTTGCAAAGTGAGGATTGCTTACCTTACATTCACAGGTGTGTGTGGATGCCAGTGTGGCTGAGCAGGATGTATATTAGGATGATATTGTGGCTGCAAGTGAAAACATTGAACCTGGTTAATGAAATAATATAAAAACTCCCTATTAACTTTAACTTTTTCTTTTCCTGGAGCCATGAGAAACATGCTCCCATTGAGCCCTAGAAACCCCACGCTTTCAGACCTTCTCCCATGTCATTAAGCACATACATAAAGCCTCTTGGTGATGAGCTTGCTTATTGGGACACACTCATGGAAAAATGCAAAGAAAATTGCTTTTCTTTTTGACAGACCACCTGGCACATCTACTGCTTCTCATAGAAAGCATATAAAAAAAATGCCAACTTTAATCAGAGGTGGAGAGTAAGAAAGGTTACTGTTATAATAGCAGTCTTTAGAAGGTCACCTATCTTTTGTGATGGCATTTCCCTCTCATATCCATAAGATCTCAAGGAGAAACAATGAAACAAAATCACTAGTGAGGGTTGTAATAAAACGTGTTAAGACTAAGTTCTCATGCACATACACAGCTTGGAAGAGAGCACAGCTTTCTTTCTCAGTACCACTGACTGCCAGTATCACAGATGAAAACCAGGCAAGGTTTTCCCTGAAGTGTATAAAAAAAAACAACCCCAACAAACATTTGACCAGCAATGAACTCTCTCTCTGTATGAGGAAGATAATTGCAACTTTGAAATTGCCATGGATCATCCAATGTGAGAGGCCACTCTAGACAAAAGCTTGCTCACAGAGCAGTCTCCTGGGGCCCATCATATTCACAGTCCCAAAGGATTTAACCCTCACAGAAAGGGAAGGGAAAGAGAGTGGCAAATGGAGTGTACTCAGCTTCCAGAGTATCCAAGAACAGAGGGGAAGAAAGAGAGGAAGTCCCTCTGCTTTCCCCTTAACCTGAATGTGATGCTGTTTATTTCTGAACCACCTCAGAAAATCTCACCCCAGAGTAAGGAAAGGGGAGCAGAACAGATGTACTAAGTAAAGAGGAAAAATATTTACCACTAAATATGAAAATGACAATATTTCATTCTACAATTGTTATTCTCTTACCTGATAGTTATGGACTTCAGGAGTATTTTTAGCACTAAGGGAGAAAAAAATTAGCTTTTATGTAAACAGTACATCTATGTCACATAGTTCAGGGTTCTACTCTTCAGGGAAGTATTACAGTGAAGTAGAATTCATATTCTTAAGGACATTAATATTTTATTCGGGATATACACCACAGTAGTTAGTATGTGAAAGAGGGGTGTGAAATTTTTTTCTTCATTTTACATTTTAAAAATGGGAAAAAATAATGCTTGATAAGCTAACACAATAGCAGTGAAAAAAAGGAAATATGTTTCATTTTAGTATGATCTCAAACATAAAAATAATAAAAAAAAAGATTAAATAATAAAAGTACGTAAAGTCTCACAAGCAGTCCCCAAGAAGAACCTGATGTTGCATAACGAGAGATGCCAAAGCAATACATCCCACACCAAAAAATTTGTTTCTACAAATCCTAACACAGAAATTATCTTCAGAATCTTTTTAGCCCAACAACAGCAACTTAGAGGTAAAGAGAACTCGGGCAGTCACTTACCATAGTTGTGCTGCTTTCACAGGATTGTTTGCTTAAAAAGAAAGAAACATAAATCCTTAAGACAGGTGAAATATCAACCATTTTGCAGCTCTTGTGATTGGAGTGTTACACTAAGCTTAAGTGAATCCTCATATTTGCATAAAAGTGTCTGAATTGCAAGTGCGGCCCTGTGCTTTCTAACATTCCTGTTGAAGTGTGAGGCAGACATAAACCTTCCTCTGGTCCTGCAAGAGTCAAAGCCTTTCAGAGATGACAGCAGACAAGCATATACTTCCCAAATGTCACAAAAGGACTTCTGGCAGAGTATGTTCCGCATGACCAGAACACTACTTTTCTGACCTTACTGTAAGCTACCATGTCAGTACCACTGAGTCCCTTGGAAATCAGAAACTATCCCCTGTAGAAATTGCCAATATCTTATAGAACCCAGAGTATTCACAAAGCTGCTAATGGTCTGTGTCTTATTATAGGGAAAAAAGGTAGCCAAAACAGCCCATCAGTTGGGAATCTGGGAAGGCACTGAGCAATCCTGAGCAACAAGGTCTTGGCTTATGCTCCAGATAGGCTGGAAAGAACCGCGAAGGCAGTTGAGTAACTGGGACGTATCACCTCTTTTTCATGACAAATGGCATGATTTTCAAGAGCACTGAAAAACTGTCAGTGATATAGTTGAAAATCCAAGTGTCTGCTAAATACAGAAAGTGGGTGACAAAGTTAATGAGACACTGCAGAAGACTCAAAATACAGAGCTAGAACAGAGTCCAATCCTTGTGGGCTGCAGCTAGATACAGGTCTTAACGGCCAAGAGATGCAGGAAAGACAATAATCTAGAGGGAATTTTTGCATTAACTTAACAAACATGCTGTTGAGCTCTCTGAAAGGAGATCATCGGGGTATGACAGAAGTTCTCACTGGCTGCAATGCACAGAGAATGTAATTGAGCATAAGCCACACTCTCTCTTCTCCTTCTATCTCACAGACATAAGTACGGAAGCACCGAGACACAAGGTATGACCTGCAGGTCTGACAGATCCTGTTACTGTAAGAATAAAATTAAAAGAATCCATTCTTTCACTTATGACATCACCCACAGGATATAGTTGACTCTCATGTATCGCATAACAGCATTTCACAAATTTAAAAAATTTGCACTTCCATTAAAAAAACTCCTTACATGTACTAAGGAAGGAAGCAGGGAGGGAGTTAACAGCCTCTAGAAAGCATGCATGCTTGTAACCCTTTTCACCCCACTGTCCATGAGAAACACACGTCCCCATAATACCACAAGGATGATTCATGGAACCGTGGTTCATATTCCGGGAATGCAAAGGAGTGCAAAAACATTCTAAGGAAACATCAGCTCACCCTGCTCCATACAGCAACTATACCTTCAGGCTCAAGTAATAAAGAATTTAGAGGGGATTGTCTTGAAGTGCTCCTTCCTAGGTTTTTCTACAAGGAACAAAAATCTCAGTTTAAGTTTCTATGGACAAATTACAAAACCACAAGGGAAATCAATTCCTTGTCATTCCATTCAAATTTGGCATATCTCAGCATAACTCCCAGGGCAAGGTAGTTAAGGTCAGAGTCTGGATAGGTGAATAATACGTGATTACAGTCAGGAAAGCTGCAACAACTACGTAATGAGACTGTTCGATAACCCTAAAATTGCCTGGCTAGATAAGCGAGTCAGTGAGGCTTCTGGACACTGCTCCACTCTCCATGACACATGCAGTTCTGCTAAGAAAACGTTACATGCTATCCCTTATTGGGTTTGCTGGAACTTTTCTCCTCGATGGAGCAACAAAAGAAACCATGGGTACCCTCCTCCTTAGATGGGGGTGGAAGAATTAAGTGCAGGTAGAGATTAAAACCAGAAGATGGATATGACTCCAACTTTGGACAAAAAAAAATAAAGACCCATGTACCTTCTGATGTTTTACGCAATCTGACATCTTTTTCTTTTTATACTGCGGTATAGATGTCATGAATGTAATATGACACTTCTATGAGTTAACGGGACACCCGCATGATTGCTGCAGTGAACACACGTAAAAACACTTACTCTTAAAGGTTGAATGCCTTCGAGAAGGATATCGCTTGCTGGGCCTTCTTTCAAATGTGCTAGTTCTGCGTAATCTTGTCCCATGTGTTGCTTGATATTCTGTCCGCCCACTTAAAATACAGAAATAAACAAATTAAACTACTGCCTTCTGCTGGATGCAGTATTTGCTCCTTCTATAAACATAAATATTGCTGTTACTTCTCTAAATACCTGAATCTGAAGCGTGATCCCAGCCTTATGAAGTCGGATCTACTAGATTTACTATTTGCTGGGGCTCGCAATCTGAAGAAAGCATGGTGCTCCACTGCACACTTCCACAAATGTTTGCACGTTTTGGCACTGTCTAACCGGAAAACAAATGTGTGCTCTTGCTCTCTGCCCTAAATGCAGAAACAAAAGCTTTGGAAGTTGGCATGCATGATATTAGTTATTGTCTTTGGTAGGAGAAATACAGCCTGGGCCAACAGTGTGCTGAGCCTCCCTTGTGTTCTTACCAGCCTGAGCACACACCACACTTTGTTGGATCAGGCCCAAGTAAGGAAAAAAGTTACCTGTTCATCATCTTCTACAACCACGAGTGTTAGTTTGCTCTTTTTAAAGTCCATTTTTGTGATTTTAGGCCTAAACACAAGAAGTAAAAAGAATAAAATTAAAAGAATATTAAAAGAATTTTATTTCAACAACTATTTCACATTTGAGAGTGGTACTTCTATAACCAGGCCAATCTATCTTCAGATTTGACCTTCAGATTTTAAACCTTGCAGATTCAACCTAAATTACAAAATACAGTCAAGATCTCATTATGCAAAAGGAGAAAGATTTCAGCATTTTAACAGAAAGGAATATAACACAAAAACAGATTACCAAAAAAATAAGCCTATTTTGTTGGCTCCTTCAAAGATCAATATGCCTGTTGGTGTCAGTCCAAGAGCATATTCGCAACCATCTCTTCCCTGCAAGCAAGTACAGAATAAATAATCAATATGCCATTAGCAGTGTAAATCTCATACAGTAGTATCACAAAATCCATAGGTCTTAAACTAAACAGTAGTGTTTGCATATTTTTTTAACATTACTGAGCAGAAGAATATGCACCTGTACTGGGTGCAAACCGGCAACAGGAGGTTGTAGGGTGCCCTGTGTGGGAGGAGGCCATGTGCTGCCCCAATTGGCTCTGAGGCACATGGAGATGGACCCACACCAACACTGAAGCCAGGGGAGCCCACATCTCAGCTCCCCCGTGTCTAAGAGCAGGCAGTACCCGCCAGGGGAAGGAGACACAACAGGAAGAAACTGAGGGTCATAGGAAAAGGCACGTGGAAAGGGACACTGTGGGGGCATGGCTGGAGAAGCACCCTCGGGAGGAGCGCTGCAGGTGGGAAGTACTTCTGAGGGACCACAGGCAACCCACACCATAACAAGAACACCCTTCAGGCACTGACCCACACCAGGGCGGGGACCCCATGCTGATAAAATAAAGTATCACATGGATCTTACCTTAACTACATGCATATCTACACCATACATTTCTAGCCATTTAGCTTTGTTCAAGTAGCACAATTCAGCCTGCGCCGGGCTCTTTCCCCTATGAGCATAAAATTTATAATTCATGGTAAAAAATTTGTGTCCACTGTAAATGCTTTAAAATTCTTTCCCCTAACACTTTTCTTTGGGCCCTTAATCTTAATGACACTAAATGGTATTTCAAGCTTAGCTTATGTTTTTACCCTCTTCCCTCCAAATGAAAATAAATCAGAGGGATGAAAACAGAAAAAGGTCTCAAATTGCCAATAAGGATGAAAGTTCAGGTAACACAGTATCACTGAAATGCACCATATTTATTAACAAAAGACAAGAAAATGAGTTTGCTACCACTCTGAACACAAAACTTTATGTTTGCATAAAGAAGGAGAGAGAGAGGAGATTTATTTCCAACATAAAGAAAAGAAAAAAGATCTAACTCCTTAAATTATTACAAAATAATCTAAAGAAAAACTGATAAAAAAATGAAAACTCACCCCTCCAACCTTCTCTAAATTACTGCTTGCCATTTCTAGAGAAGGAGAAGGCTCAGTACTTCTCAACTGACAAACATAATCATCATTTCATGTCTGTTGAAGGGATTTGACTTTGGAAGAGAAGAAAACCTGTTGCTAGAGACCCCACTCCCACACAGGTACTCTACCTGCACTCCTTCCATTTCTGAAAAATGTCAAATTCCATCGCTTCAGTCTGGTTTGGTGCAAACCTGAATTCAGACACAAGCTCTGGTGTGTGCTCAGGGTGCTCACACTCTCCCAGCTCAGCTGAAATCAATCAATTGAGAAGTTAAAAATTTAAAGATTTTGGGATGACCAGAAACATTTAATTCCATTATTTCTACAAAGACAAGGATAGTAAGTTTTTAAGTATGTAGTAGAAGAATGTACTTGTGCCAACATTTTAAGTTAACACCCCATTCTCCCACTCCCAGCCCCACTAAATTCAAACCAGATTTTACAGCAGAAGTCGATAAATGTATTTGCAGGAGCAGTGTTAAGGTTATAGTACAGAATTCTGACATTCAAGAATGTTATAACTGAACCAGCTTAACTGGAGCTGCTTCTGTGGATTTTAAAGCACTTAAAGGAAATAAAGTTTCTATTAAAAACAATCATCAAGGTAAAACTGTTACTTCCTCTCATTGCATACTTTTCATTCCAAAACACTTCCCATTTTGTTGCATGCTTTGTCATGTTACTGTTCGTGTCAAAACATGAAAGGAATACCTAGTCTCGTGAAAGCAGTGATAAAGTTGTGCAGTTTTTTTAAACCACAGCAGTTGTGTAATATTTAGATTAAGTAGTTTTTAAGGAAAGAAATGCTGCAACATTAACATAATTGAGGTGTTGCTTTCTACCTATATGCTTAGGTCCTGGTATTTTCTTTTCTAGGAGCAGAACACTTGCCAACTCCACTGAGCTCAGCAGGAGATTGAAGTGCTGAGCATTTCAGTGATTGAACTAACCTGTCTTGTGCCTGTGACATGCTTTGTTCACGGAGCCTCTCAGCTATACAAAGAGGTTGCAGCATCACTGCCTTGGGTAGTTTGCCTTTGTGTGGTAAACATCAGTGGAGAATACACTGTTCAGTAATATCACATGTCACCTGACATACGATGTGATTTCCAGCCAGACCTTTGTTGGTGTTTCTTAACTGTTTACTACTACTACTACCAAATAGTAGCGGTATTTTGGTGGTAGTAATTGTAGTAGTATTTTAGTATTACTACCAAAGTAAAAACTAAAATAAGGCAGATGGAAACTAAATCCCCTGAACAAAGCAGTTTTATTGCTTTAGGGCACTTTTACACTTAACAGCTGCAAAAATTTAATTCACACTCAGACTTCAAAAATGCCTAGCAGGTTCCAGTAGCCTATAGGAAGTTACACACAAAATGCAATCTGTTGGCTGATACCACCTACTAGGTAGTTTTGAGAACTTGAGCTTTGCTCAAACATTTAGCAGTCCTCAGGATATTAAACAAATTGAGTTCATTGATCTTCATTTCTAATTACTGCCTCACACACATTTTTTCTCTAAACAGTCATCTTCCATGATGACTGTTACAGCATTCTTATTTATAAGACTTTTTCTTTAACAGATATCTCAGCTCTATTGCTGTTTCATCAAAGCTGGAAGCCTATTTAACACAGATATTGCTAAGAATTACTGGCAGTCCAATCTCCAGTGTACAAAAGAGACCCACAGAAAACCCATTAGCAAGGAGGACTTAGAGGGAAAAAAAAAAGTAAGACAAGTTTGATGTGTTGACAATCATCTAGGAAAAACATGGGAGATTTCTCTACTAGTTAACTAATAGAGAAAGTGGGGAATGAAGGCTGACTGTGCTGTAAAGAGGACATGTAGAGAAGAATCATGAGCTTGTAGGACAAAAGATACACAGAAAAGATAAGGCAGCAGTATTAGGTAAAAGAAAAATATCGCCCTTGTTTCTTAATAGCTGCATTCACTGTTTATTCATTTTCAGGTGAACAAACTATGTAATCTTTTTGATCTCTAACAAGTAGATCTTCAGAGTAAGTCAGAGTTTCACTAGCTCCCCACGCAGGGTAGGAGGGCAGTGGAAGAAGGGGTAGTCGAGGGCTCTATATGAGGATGCTGTCACTACTCTGGTGGAATTACATTCCTTGAATGGCTCAGCAACACTAATATTTTTCAACACAAGGGAACAGTAGAAGACCCATCTTTTCATCTGTGGTTTTATGACAAAGTATCATGCTTTGGCATACCTCTTCTCTTTTTTGTGTGGTAGAGTATTTCTGGTTAAACACTAAAGCTACCCAGTAGCAATGAGGTAGTTAAAAACTTACTGTAACAGTGACAATTCAAGTTTGATGACAACCTTTCTGCAGACAATGCCTAAGTGAAGCATATGATTATGTATCTGCTTCACAAGTTACCTCATACTGCAAATCAACATTATTTGCTACAGAATTTCTTTCACGGGACTGGCAACAACCCAACACTTTAGGTTTGAAAGATGATTCATACAAAACACCAACCTTGGAAACTGCTATTTGAAACAAAGAATTACTGTAACAGAACAACTTAATTGATTATTAAAAAAAAAAAAAGTATGTAGTTGAAAGCTGACCCGTGAAGAGAAAAGGCTTTTCTTTCAGAGGGCTTAGGGTACTAGTGCCTAAATAGTCATTTACAGTTTTCTCTTTGCTCTTAGGAAAACCACACTAAGAAGCAAGACTGGATTTTACAGAGTAAATGTAACCTGCTGAGGAGGGACTAATTGGCCTTCCTTTGTACTCTTCTGCTTGATTAAGTTTCCGGTGTCAATAAAATGTAGCAAACTTTACACCAAAAATGCTAATTATTGCATACGCCAGCAGAGATAATGAATTAGTTGAAATAATTTTGGATAAACTTATTGTGATGATGTCAAAATAGTCGAAAACTGAAACTGAAAAAAAGGCAGCAAAAAAGTATAAAAGTGTTTTCCTACAGACAGTGTCAAGGAGTATTAGTTTTGGTACCTAGCTGGAGACATCATAAACATGATGGACAGCTATCATGATATGTTTACACAGCAAACACAAGTGACAGTTACTACCCAAACTGTTGAGGCGTCAACCTATTATTGTTTGCCTGATTCTCCTTGCTTAGACCAGGGGTGAGGTTACCAGTATTTTCATTTGAGAAAATGGAAGCAACAAATCAAATACGGGCTCCATATTTCCTCCATCTCAAAAAGACAAATGGAGTTTGCCTGCAGCAGTTCTTTGCAGACATAACAGTCACAGCTGCGCCAGACCAGTGCAGCAAAATAACTCACTACCTTAATATTTACACCCGTTGCTGTTCGGAACTGAATTCCCAGTTTTGCCTGTCAAGTCCATCTAGAATCACTGAGTTATCCCCACTGCTATATTAAACTAAGAGACTCTGCCTAAACACTCCTTACGTCATGGATGTCATGGCCCAACCACCAGAGAAACAGGAAGAAAATTTTTCATCTCAATTCATGTTGCTGCTAATACGCTTAGAATGGTCCAGCTCACTGCACTTTCTTTTAGAAAAAAAATCAACTTGATTCGAGGTTCATTACACTAGTTTCCTTCCTATTTGCAAAACAAACTATCTGAACAGAAATAAATATTTGTATTAACATGTTTGCAACAACTAAAAAAATACATTTTCCTACAATAAACTAATGAAACCCAGTGTCCTAGAATTTTTATGAAATCTTGTAACCCTTGCTCCTGACACAGAAGTAATCTTAGTTTTTACCTTTCCATATAATTCTCTCCAGTACCTGCCACCTCCTGTATACTGCCCTGTAACCATCTCCTGTGTTACACACTGTGCAGGTTTCCTCTCCCAAGCACTGTCTAGGCAGCAGGAAGCCCAAGTTCACAGGGCTCCACCTGCCACAAAGTGTATGCTGAAGGACCAGCTGGCTTTTCAGGTTGAAGGGATAACACTGTGCACGCATCACACCTTCTCCCTCAGTGGGGAACTATTGGGGTCCTTCTTTCCTGGTCAGCCCTTGGTTTCCACAAACATTTGTCTAGCCATGCCTTAGAGGCTCCTTCCCCTTAGCAAGTGTGCTGATATTGGCTAATGTAGTTCAGAAGCTATGAATGGAGGCAAGTCAAGAAAATAATCGCCCTAAAATTCTTCTCCTTGCGAAAAGGAAGGACATTTATACACTATCAGTGAGAAAGCATTGATAACAAAGAAAAAGAAACCAGAAGGTGAGTTTTTTAATATATTAAGACAAGCCACTTTCAGAAGATTGCATACCTTGAAGACACAGAGCTGCTAGTTCAACAGCAGTTTCATACGGGCATTTCAGTCTTAAAAACAAAAAAACCCAAACTGTAAAAATCATGTCTCTTGTCAGTAAATTCCTCTTGCAATAAAGCTAAAAAGTAGCCTGATACAAGAAATGGAAATATTAACTTCCACAAACTATTAATGATATGAAACATCTACAATTAGTTTTAACTTGTGTATGATTATTTCCTAAGTTGGTACTTCTGATTTCCATTAAACATGATACACTTCACCATAAAACAAGCTTCAACTAATAGAGACAGCATTAAATTGACTAAAGAACCATTTTTTGCTTCAACCCTGTATTTTAGAACATATGGTTTTGAGATTTTTTTTTCTATAATTAAAAAAAAAATAGAACACGTGTGCATTTATTGGCCAGGGTAAGACTATAAACACACAAAATATTTTTGCAGAGTTGACCTCAATTGGAAGTGTTGCACTTCAACTTCTTCCTCTTCTCTTTTACCTATCATACTAAAAAAATACGGTAAACCTAGGTCATATTTTCAAGTCATAAAAATCAAGACAATCTTGCTTTCTTTATACATTTCCATCACCTGCTCAATCCATTAAAATTTTTATCCATTCTATTTGTCAATAATATTGTCATGATACACACTAAGTCCTCTATGCCTGTATTCTAAAGAAAAACAAAATGCACGTGGAACTGTAAATCATGTTCTTAATCTGTGCACTAATACCATGACGAAATAAAAAGATCACACAATTAAAGTAAAATTTTAAATTACTAAGAACTATTCTAAATGCTTTAAATTACAGCTGCAAGAGTAAAAAGGTACTTACTTCCCTGAAAGAATGTCTTGCCGGAGTTGTAATACAAACAGGTACCTGACAAATAAAAATTCAGAAAGTCAAAAGTATTTATAATGGCATCCTTCTAGCTCCACTCACTGGAAAAATATCCCAATTCAGTAATCACAACATTTTCATTAACGTGCTCTTGAAAAGTAGGGCCTTTGGGATTACTCAGATATACCATGCAACCTTCAAAGATCCCACAGCTTTCACTAAAATCAAAGAGAAGAACATTTTTCACTGACTGGCAGTGTTCAGAACATTGTCCAAAGCCTTGCTGTTTAGGGATGTACTCTATCTGAGCACACACCACAGCAACCCAAATGTTACTGACACTGGAGTCCTACCCAATTCAAGCAAGAATTGAACTACAGGATCTAGAAACAAAATGCAGATAAAGGAATGTAGGTTTCAGGGCTGCCTTCTCAAACATAAATACAGAACATGGAAGAAGTCCAAACTAGGTAAAAGGAAAAGTTCAGAATGAGATGTCACTTAAAACAGTAGAAAAGTTCTGAATACAAAAAACCTGAATTCCATAGAGCCCACACATTTATTTAGTAGGCCAAGTAGGAATTTACAGCCTTCAAACTGTTCGTAGTATTTTAAGCTGTGGCTAATCTTCAGTCCTCAGCATGCTTCATGTTTCATCGCCACTCAGAGTTGGGCTTTGCTGAGGCATGCACAAGTGCCCTAGGTCATGCAAGGAACAGGAAGTCACAGGCAGGCTCAGCACTGCTCTGGACACTGTGGGGTGAGCCTTGCAAAGGTGAGTGACTCAAGGGAAGAAAGCATGAAGCACTACTGAGAGCCAGTCCAGTAAACAGGAACATAAACCTCTCCTATCTTGACAAAGGATGCTGGAAAGACAAAGTGTTTTTCATCACAGAGGACGTGCAGTGAATGTGGTGAAGGATGAATATTCAGAACAGACAGGGAAACAGAAACTAAAAGGAAGATCAAGATTTCTCATGATACACTACAGCAGAACCAGATTTATCCATGCTAGATCTGTTTCCCATCTGATTCACATACTTGGCTAATACCCTACTTGCCAATCAAACCTGGATGTTTGCACGCACGGCTTAACGGTAGACACGTATACTTCCTGTTCTTATTGATGTCCCAAATGATTCACAATTCCATGAACTCTTCTGAATTTGCAAGAAAAATCTGGGCAGTGCTTCTATCAGTGTCAGCTGGCCTGTGCAGTGCTGCAGCACTGTTCTGGTTGGTATGACTTACTCTTGCTCCTTTTCTGCGTGCAGGCTGACAAACATCAGCATCTCAATTGTTGCTACTCCAAATCAGCAAAGTACCTTAGAAAATTCTCCACAACACCCATGTTGTGGAGACATGTTCCTCTCTTGTTTTTCTAACTAAACTAACTAATCAGGTCACACAAAAGTGACAGAAGATGTCTTCCAAAATACACTGGATTTCAACTGTGTTTTTAAACTGAAAAAAGACAGAATGGGTGACAGGTTTCAACACTTAGCATTACTGTGCTAATTATGAGAATGTGGTGTTATAGTTGCACTAGAAATTGAAGTCTACTAGAAAGCAGATCTCCAGAAGGAATTTCAAATGCCCCCCTCCCCCACCAGGTAAGTTCATAGTTACTGTTAACGATGATTTTTCTTCCACCTCTTACTCCATTTCCACTTGGAATAATTTTGAGTACAGAATTATTAATCTTCACCTTTGACTCAACATGCTACACGGAAAACATGAAACTCCCCTTCCCCCTTAAAATTAAAAGAATTAAAAATTCAAGAGTTAAAAAAAGTCTTAAATTCAAAATTACTCTCCCCCCCAAAAAAACCCCAAAAAGCACCTATTTGTTCACTGTAAAATCAATTTCCAGCCCATTTTAATTTTTCTCATATAGTTTCACAGTGGTCTTCTGTCAAGCTTGTAATTAAAAAAATTGTTCACTACACTGAATATTTAGCTGACTAAAGTGTTTTTCTAATTAAAATAGTCTTCTGAAATGTCACCTTTCAGCAATAATTAGATCACAAAGCATCAGAGGTTAATACTTTCAGACAAAATGTCTTACTCGATCACAGCAATGATCACATAGCTCAGAAACCCAATCTCACAGTGACTAGGATCATATGCTTCAGAGGACTGAGCAAGAAATCTTGTGGTAGACAGTAATGGAATAATTTGATCACAGGGAAAATGTAATACTTGTCAGACATGCACTCAGATGTACGAAGACTTACGCCAATTTCCAGAAAACATATATTATTCCTACTAATTTAACTGCATTTTCTCATTAGAGATGTCCAAAAATTATCTGGGTTTTTTGATTCTCTTAAGATCTTATACTCAGTTACATACGTGACAGGGATTTCTGTAAGTTAATTATACATTGTATAGGAATAAGCCCTTCTGGTGAATTAACACTGCTGCATTAAATCTATAATGGATATAAAGACTCTATGTCTATATCATAAGGTGGTGACAATTAGCTCTTTAATCTTGTCTCAGGCAGTGAAAAAAAACATGGTCAACACAGCAGATAGCAAAGGCAACAGTAATCATACGCCTGCAGGCATAAGTTTAATGTAAACATCTCAGGCACATGAACTACAACAATCAACCATCTTTAAACACCTCGGGCTGATTGGGAGTACACTGATTATTGCCAAGCAAATTAGAAGACATGGAAAGTGCCCTACGGTGATAAACAGAACAAAAGAAAAGATAAAATAACATTAAGATAGATGACTACTATACAAAGAAGACACAAGGTAAGCACATACAATAGATAAGTAAACCCTTTCCTCCAGCTGCTCATTTCCCAATTTTCAGAATATCCTGTAAATCACACCAGGTGCTACAAACCCAGCAAGGTATAGGCCTCCAGAAAACAGCCCACCAGACTGAAACGAAAGACTTTCAGATAATCTTAAAGTGACTTTAGACAATGCAGGTTTTATGCCTTTTGCTCCAGAGAATCATGGGGAAGCAGAAGCGATTCAATCAACTGGTAACCAAGAACTCAAGCTGTCTAATCCCACAATTCTGTGGCCTTTGTACGATTATTAAACCACCCCCACATTTCAGAGCAAGAGGGACAAAGCAGGGCACTGGCATTTTTGCAGGACATAATGGAAAAAGGTATTAAGAGCAGCTGTGGCTCCCCCTACCCAACGCTGCCTTTCTTTGCCAACTTCAAGCATCAAAACACAGCATCTCATAGACATTAAAACTCTCAGAGAGGCCTCTGAATGCTTTCTGGCACCAAATAAAAAAGATTACATTTCTCTGACAGTAGGAAAACACCTAAGAAGGCAGATAAAATGACCACTCTTAGTAAGAAAGTTAAGATCACCTGCTTACAGTACCCCTATGTACTTCAGATGTCTTATTTACCCCTCTGCCAGTCACCCAGTTAACCACACATAGTTCCTACCTTGTAAACTCTTCATGAAGGTTGTTCGGTTCTGATGAATAGTACTTAATACGAAAATGCAACGTGTACGGAGGTCCAACTGTACATGCAAAGATTTAAATGTGGAAAAAAGGTTTACACTAGTTGCAGTTCTGGTAAGGCAGAAGAACCAAGAACCACCCAAGAAATCCCAAACTAATTACATTTTTCAAATTCTTCGAAGAAGGAAATATTCAATATTTTTAAATTTAAAAATGCATGCAATAAAAAAAATTAGACAATTAACATACTCCATGATACTCAAGAATTCAAATTGATCAAGCAATAGTCCATTTGGCAAACACATTTTTGTCCAAAGAGGTGTGCCCCACAACATGCTGTTAATGACAGCAAGTTCCAGGTACACTGCCTATTGCTGGGCCCAGAGGGAGATGGAAGGAAGAGGGAAGGAGAGGGGGATGCTCCTTGTAACCAGGCACAAACACCACTCCAAAAAAAAAAAAAAAGTCTACCAGTAGACCATCTTTGATTTAAACACATGAATGAGAAAAGGTAAGATAAATAAGGTGAAAAGTGCTGGATAGAACTCTGGAATGTACCCATGAACACATGAAAGCTAGCAAATTCCATGAAGTGGAGTTGCAAAAATTGTGTTTTCCAATGTGAGAAGGTGAATGCTATATCTGACTTTCTGTGTAACACAGATAACAAAAAGTTACCCAGCTACCATGAGACTCTGACCAATGCACTCTTAGCTGCCTTAGCCTCATCTTCCAAACTAACTGCCTGCTGATATATTAATTGCTGGAAAAAATGATTTTTCCACACTTTTCTAAGGCCTTCTGTAACATCACATCAACACAGTGTACATGTGCCTATTAATGATCCCTCTACTAAATGACATACAGCTAAAATTCAAATAATAAGAGCTTTGATTCTGTCTCCAAAGATACCTCCTAGAAGACAGGTTATAGTACCCCAGGCTCACAGTTAGAGACCACTAGTAAGGCCTGCATAGGCAAGATAATGACTTGGAAAAAAGAGCAGTGAGTAACACCCATCATGAAAGAGGAACTCTTCATAAAGCATCTGCTAAATGCAAGGAAAGAAAAGTATCCTGTTGTGAGACAGATCTGTACAACACCCAACAAACTGCTTCCCTCTTAGGTGCTCCTCAGATCCGTGATTGGCCAATTTATTTTTTAAAAAGGCCCTTCACAGATGAAACAGACAAAATCAAGCAACTAAACTGGTTGAAGTTGTTGTAGAATCACTGATTTTCCACAAAAAAAGGACAAAGCTATCACAGAAAGCATAGGTGCAAATCATTTAGTCACTTAAGGTAAAGCAGTCTGGAATGTGATGAAAAAGTGAGAGAAAATCAACCACCAAAACTCTACCCACAGTAGCTATCTTTACCTTGTATTCTAGCAGGCTGACACCTACACACCATGAGGTGACAGCAAACCACCCTAAAGGTGATGAACTCCACCATTTACAAAAATCATCTAGATAATTTGGATACTTATAAAAAAAGACAGACAAAGCACCATTGAAGCAATAATCACTCTGTGAGCTCCTGCAAGGGGGTCAACAGTTTCCTTGAAAAACAATGTATTTTAATGTCACAGAAGCAATGTTTTCAGTTGGCCAACTGCAGGAGAGTAACAAAACCCATTAATGCCAATGCTGTACTCTACTCAAGCTTGCAACCAGACTGTCAGAGATCCAGGAACTGCTTCCCTGACTTAGCCAATTTCCACAGAAAACTCAGGGGCCAAAGTGAACCCTTCCATCCAAAACTATCTTTGATGAAACAGCAGCTATTTCAAAATTACATTTCACAAAACAGCAGGTATTTCTGCTAGTTTTATTTCTAATATACAACAAAAATAAAATAAAATTTAACCATATCAGCCAGTACACAGTGAAATATTTTCCACTCTCTGAAAAAAAAAAAAAAAAGGCAGGAAATCTGTTCTGGATCAGAAGCAGTGACAGGAACTGCAATCTGTGTCCAGGCAACCTGATTTCACAGATCAGACTGAAATTACCTGGCAACCTCCTCTGCCTCAGACAAACAGCATGTGTTTAACAAGGGCTACTGCTTAATAAGTGTTCTTGCACTTAGATATAAGATAGTCAGTCAATTACCCATGAAACAAAAATTATTTCCTAAGAAATATTTATTCCATTAAAGGGCACATTTAAACATTCACAATCATGTTCAAATACTCTAAGTTCAAATTCTTTAGGAAGTAACAAAATAAACAGGCAGAGACATAGTACTTACTTTTTATTTGCTTCTTAATGAATTTTGAATGATCCAACCAGTGCTAAAAAAAAGAAAATTCACATTTAAAAGCAGTTCCATTTCAAGATTTTGTTGACTCAAACTAATTACAATAAAATTTATCAGATAAAAATCTCTTAAAAGGAAATACTGCCATATTTATTTTCTAAATTTCTGCACATTTGTGAAAGTGTTTTTTGGCACATTTAGCAACTTTTCTTCTTCCACATGGGAAAGCTTGATTTTTAAATTCATCTGTACTGCCAGGGAAGTCACTCTTCCAGAGAGGAAACCTCAAAATCCAAAGCCACAAAGCAGTAGTGTGTAAGGAAAATACCCTTTTGTCCCCAGGTTTAACTGTTCCCCAAGTGCTCCTGAGGGCAGCAGGCCAAACCCCCAAGTTTCAGCCTCCTTTCAACCCCATCTGACGGAGACCCTCCAGATCCTGTACGATTCTGCCTTCCATTGCTTCACAGCCAAGTTTTTTCAAGAGAAGGATAAAGACTTAACCCTCTCTAAAAGCATTTGGGAAACACTGAAGCACACCTCTCCCCCCTTCCTCCCCATTTTTAAACTAATAGCAAATGATCTTGAATAGACACAACGATGATGACAAAAACATGTGCTTCCCAGCAAAGTTTATGCACTCTTTTGTCAGTGCAAGTTGCATCTACAGAAGAGTAGCAACAAACACTTTCTGATGTAAATTTAGCTTAAATCTTTGACTGCTTCTGCACAATGTCCTATGTAAGGCTGCAATCTGATTGGAAGCAACTCAGTGTAAATGCTTCTGCTACATAAGGTGATAAAAGAATTTTGGATTTCCTTGAAATAAACATTGTTCTATCTTTATATATATATATTAAAGTTATAAACTAGGTACTATGAAACAAAATCTTAGGAAAAAACAACACTTCTTCCTTCTTTCCTATTAAAGCACTCATGTTTGCAGAAAAAGGATAATCTCTGAATGACTATTTATCATTCTACTAACACCATGCTACTATGGTTAAATAAATGTAAAAAATTATTTGTTGGATAGTAATGCCAGTATTTATTTACTAAGTATGTCCTAAACCAAGGCAAAAATTTATTTATCACAGGTATAGATATGTGTAGATCAAAAGTCTGACAACTTACGCCCCTTAAGGTAAATAAATTTCACAAAAGAGATAGAAAGAGAAAGAGAAATGGAACAATTATTCTGAAGGTTGTTTTATTTGCACGAGACTTGCAGGACTCCCTTAGGTGAGGCTGCCAAGGAATCCATCCTTACAATCTGAGAAATCTCCACCAAAATGGAAATAAAACAATATAGCAGGTCATACAAATACATTCCTTAGAGTTGCAAGTAATTTACTCTGTCTCTACTTTACTCTCTTATGAAAAATTACAGCTTTGTGAAATCACATTTTTGATAAGGAAAAATATCAACATTGAAACTTTGCTTTTATTTTTTACTGAAATTATACAAGTCTATTACTTTCATACCTCCAGGCAGATTAATTTTTTATTCTTTAAATACCTAGCTACAAAAATGTCTTTCTGCTCAGTATTTATTTAGGCTAAAGATAAACCACTCAAAGGCAAATATACTGATTTCATTAGAAGAAAAGTTTAGCTTCATGTTAAATAAAACCAAACATGAATAACATCTAAAATACAGCCCAAAAATCCTCCAGTAACATTTCACCTGTGACTCCTGTTAGCACTGTGTTCTGGAACAAGAACAGCACAACCTGAACCACAATAATTTCCAATGAAATAACAGCTGATAGTCCCTTTCTTGGAATGTGGTGTTCTAGGTGAATTAAAACTCAAATAAGAGCAAGTTTCAAACTGATTGTTTGCAACTGTAAATACTTCAAACAAGGTTTAAAAATAACTAACAAGACTCCAGGAACTATTTGCACAGACCGTTAAATGAGACTACAGCCTGGACAGGAAGCTACCCTCACTCTCTAGCCAAGCAGCCAGGGGCAGACAGCTACAGGAGATAAAACACAGCAAGCATTAAACTCATCTCTCTTCAGAAACAAGAGTGAGCTGCTGTTTTACCCCATCCCACACTGCATGTCATGGCTGTGTGTGATGCACCACCACACAGATCACAAAATACAGAGAGGTAGGGCATGGACTGGCAGCATTATTGGCACAGAGTTCCTAGACCTGGCAGTTTTCATGCAGATTTGTGAACCAACGCTGATTTCAAAATCAGATATTTTGTGCAATTTCTCTGAAAATCAGCCTAAATTTCAACACTTCTTTGCCTCAGATAATATCAGAGGGCTTCTTCACACTGTATATCATACCTGCTTTCCAAATGTCCCTCTGAGCTGAAAAAAATTCATAGCACTCGAGTTAAAGCCAAAAATGGCTTTGGGCTTGGCTACATATTGCTTGCTAACTCAGTAACAGGGAAGTGAAAGCAATGAATTCTGAAGTCTCACAGGAAGCTAAGTAAAACCAGAGGAGACTTTAGCTCTCTCAGCACCTAAGACTGTAGCTCTGCCTATCTTGTGCTCTGGCTAAACAACTGTACATCATTTCAAGATCTGGACTCATTAAAGAAACTTAACTATGGATCTCACAGCATAGGACCAAGACTGACCACACTCATTTCAACTATACAATACCGCATTTCCTATATCCACTTTGGATTTGCAAGTATCAGTGCAGAAAAAGAAGGAAGAAAATGATTAATTGCTTCAAGACTGTGTTATGATAGGAAGACAGTTTCTAAAGCTACTTTGCCCACACTAGGGGAAAAAAGCCCCTAACCTGGTCAAATTGCAGGTAATCAAGACTATGATTATTTTAGAATAGAAAGAGTAGTTCAGTTGTAAGTGACCTACAATGACCATCTAATCCACCTGCCTGACCACTTCATGTTATTAAGGGCATTGTCCCAGTGTCTCTTAAACACTGACAGGCTTGGGGCAACAATCACCTCTCTAAAAAGCCTATTTGACAACCCTCTCAGCAAACAAATGCTTCCTGATGTCCAGTCTAAACTTCCCCTGGTGCAGCTTTGAATCATTCCCACATGTCCTGTCACTGAATACTAGAGAGAAGAGCTCAGCACCTCACTCTACTTTTCCCATCCTCAGGAAGCTGTAGAGACCACTGACTCCTTTAGAGACCATTATCACCTCTAATTCTGTCAGGTAAACTGGAAGGTCAAATGCTGGATTAGCTTCCATTTATTCCTCTGTAAACTCAGTAAAATTTCTTTGCTCTACCAAATGATTAATGTTTCCTATAGTATTGACTGATGTAACACAGTAGCCACTGATTGGGATTCATATGTTGAAAATATGTTCCAATCAATTTCACATGAAAGAAACACCATATAAAAAAAAATTTCTTAAAATACTGGAAGTACGTATTTATCTCAGCTTGCTCTCCTGTTGATCACTCATTTTATCCAAGTGAAGAAGAAAAAAATAAGTACCTCACCACTTCCTAAGTGGTACCAGCCAGTATTTTCTCAGAACAGACATGCAGCAAGGGAAGACGTATTTGTGTTAAAATATAGCAGATAAACTACAGCTGCTAGAGCACTCTATGTAAGAACAGCAGTGAGTGCCAAATGAAGACTGAAAGGAGGATTACCACAGGCCGACACAAACCCATCACACACCTGATCTTTGCAAATTCCACCGCCTCTCTACTTGCTTCCTAAAAGAATGAAAACTCCTTGTCTTGATTTATACAGCCCTCAAAGGTGACCTGAAAAGGAAAAAAATTGTATTTGACCCTTTTTGCTTGGCTTTCTTTGCTAGTTTAAAATGCATGAAGGACATCTTGAATAGACAGTTCTCCCTTATGCTTATTTATATATTTAACTATCAGTAAGAGAAAGTCCATTTTTACTGGAAGCTTTATTTGCTCTCTGAGAAATATTGCTTAAATGCTTCCTCATGCCATACCTGGAGGTACAAGAAGGAGAGCCACGCTCAATGCTCAAGTTGCAAAAATAAGGTGTGCTAAAAAAAAGTTGGCACCTTTAAAACCAAAAGTCAATTATCCCTTTAACTGTTTTCTTGCTTTCTGGTTTCCTAGGCACCTGACTCCTACCAAGCTCTTTGCCATTACCCACACAATCTTCTAAAGCAAGGAAGTTAAAAATGTATGTATCATATAGGAGGAAGGAATCAACAAAAAACAAGTCAATAAAAACCCTACCCACCAAACCACAGTCTGGAAACTTCTCTACACTTACAGAGTTAAACAAGAGCAAAGGAGTAAAAGCCCTTTCCTCTTTTTTTCTGCAGGTGACCTTTTAAATATTATTATAGCAGTAACAGAAAACCAAATGAACCCAAAAGTTCACAACTGAAAACAACAAAAATATTGTTCTCTACACTCATCTAATTTTCCCTGGTCCCTCCTAGAAAGTTATGCTCCTCTTGAAAATGAAGGCTCACCTGACTGGTGTCTTCAGCTGCCTACGGAAAGGTTGTAGAGAAGACGAAGATCAACGCTTCTCTGAGGTATTCCATGGCAGAAGGATGAGTGGCACCAGACCCAGGAAAAGTCACAGTTAGACAAAAAGACTGTCACTATGAGGCTTCTCAGACAAAGCACAAGTGCCCAAAAGGACTGTGGAGCCACCATCCTTGAGGGTATCAAATATGATTAAACAAAGCCCAGAGATATCAGATACAGCTGAAGCTGCTATGAGAAGGAGCTTGGACATAGACAGTCCCTTCAACTGACAAGACTTGCAGGCATTTTTCAGGATGCTGCTCTGCAATCTCATCTACCTGACTTGAAGATAAAAAAAAAAGGGAATGCACTTCCTACTCAGGTAGCATTCATATCACAAGACCAAGCCGGGGTGAGCAGTTTGTGTTTGGACTCAGATGAGACCAACTTTTCATAAAATACTGGCAGGATCTTTCTACAAGAGTTTCAAGCTCAGTGAGTCAATCTTGTTTTAAACACTTTTTGGATACTGCTGTCAGCATCTTGTTGAATGGAGCCCAGGCACAGTGGTACAGTACCACATCAACAACATTGGACGTGTGAGGACAAACC